CTTTCATGACTTCGTTGTAGTGTGCCGATGACTGCAGAATTTGTTCTTTTTATTGCTATTATAAAATTATTATTATTATTATTATTATTATTATTATCATACTTGACACTTGACTGACTCACGACTGCCATCCAGAGCACACGAGAAGTCCATCCAACCTTCGACTCGGAAAACCTGCAAGAAAGCACCACTCCCTGCTCAATACACAGTGTTTCGGGGAATTCACCCCTCATCAGTTGAGCTTGAGTAAAAGTAAAGTAAATTATCGTATCCGTTCCCGAAGGGAACTCACGACGGCCGCTAACACCCGATAAACCCTAGCGGCAGATGCAGCGCCTAACGGTGGGGGTGAGTGGGTAAGTCTCACAACCACTGGCACAAGTGCCGAAAGCGACCCCATTAGCTGCATCCATGTACCCCTTGTGCCTGGCCACAAGTTCCCAATTGACTGTGGGTAGCAGCACGGCTGGAAAAACCGCTCCCAGGCAGGACTTGAACCAGGTACCTCTCGTATCTCAATCATGGTCTTTGACCAACCCACTGTGCCTGCCTGGTGAGCTTGAGTAGGCTGAGGAAGATTGTGCCTGAAGAGCACCACTTATATAGTGCTCTCCAGGCACAAACATCACCAGGGATACAAACTTACAGAGACGCTCCGCTTCCAGCGCGACAAACACCTCGTGAACACCAGATAGTAGCGTGAGTCAGTGTCGCTCCTGGACGGTAAGACAGACGTCGAGGACCCTCCAAGTAAAGTCGGCGGAATAGCGCGAGCTCCGGTGTGGGGAGAAAACCTTTCTTACAAACCATCGCCGAAGTCGCAACCACTACTTCGTAATGTTGTGCCCAGCGCGGGCTTGCGACTAGTTGGTTTGGAGGTGACAGCGTTGCGAATGACCGAGAGTCCTCGACGTCTGTCTTACCGTCCAGGAGCGACACTGACTCACGCTACTATCTGGTGTTCACGAGGTGTTTGTCGCGCTGGAAGCGGAGCGTCTCTGTAAGTTTGTATCCCTGGTGATGTTTGTGCTTGGAGAGCAATATATAAGTGGTGCTCTTCAGGCACAATCTTCCTCAGCCTACTCAAGCTCAACTGATGAGGGGTGAATTCCCCGAAACACTGTGTATTAAGCAGGGAGTGGTGCTTTCTTGCAGGTTTGCCGAGTCGAAGGTTCGATGGATTTCTCGTGTGCTCTGGATGGCAGTCGTGAGTTAGTCAAGTGTCAAGTAAAGTCGGCGGAATAGCGCGAGCTCCGGTGTGGGGAGCAAACCTTTCTTACAAACCATCGCCGAAGTCGCAACCACTACTTCGTACTATTATTATTATGTCTCCTTTATTCACTTCTTTCGAAGGCGATAAGCCAGACCCACCGGGAAATATTTCCATGGGTGGGAGAGCAAAAATAAAATGAAAAAAATAAAATAAAAAGCCAAAAACCGAAGGGACAAGAAATAGGGGAAGGATTATTATTATTATTATTCTCAATACATGGATGACATGGTGTCAACCAATATAATATTATGAATGAGGGCTACCAGCCATGGAATAAAAGAACAAGAAGAGGCAAAAATGCACACGCAAAATTTGGCAAGTAAAAAAGGGAATTGAAAATGAAATAAAAGTAAATCAATCCAAAACCAAAATCAATATTATTATAAAAATCAATCCAAAACCAAAATGAATTGTACAGGTAGCGTATGTGATATACTTTGGAGCTTGAAGTAATACACAAAGAGAATGAAAATCAATCATTAGTAAATGAAGATCGACGTGCGTGTATATTTATCAAGCTTAAAAACGCATTGAGGGTGTTGCTGGACTTTAATTGCTGAGGAAGAGAATCCCATAATTGGTATGCTAGGAATACAGGCGATTTGCTTATGGAATTGTTTCTTGCAATCGGGAAACGAAGCGAGTTCCGGCTTGTTGAGGATTCATTGAACCAGTTTAAGGAATGCTGCACATGCTGAGGGGCAGTGACAAGTTTGATTTTGTGAATGTATACGCAGGAGGATCGGTCAATGTAATGTTTCAGAGGACTTGGCGAAGATGCTCTTGAAGACATTATCTATCAAATAACACCAAAAAATCCATGTTAGCCAACATGTGTCAAGGCATGTATTTTAGAGGTCGATTTTTTGAATTGGCCCCTGTACTACATCAGAAGTTGCTGAACAGGCTTGGATGTATGCACCTGTGCCTGGAGCGCATTCAAGACCAGCTGCGGCACCGATCCCTCAATTCCCAGTTGATGCACCCACGGTACGGTCGAAATACCCCAGGTTCGTGTACGGGTATTGCGGCCCTGCAGTTCCGCTATACGCCTGATATCGTGGCTCGGTTTGGACACATGTCCCTCTCTGATATCCCTGGAGGACCTAGGCTACACAGTGTCAAACAGCGCCAGGCACCTCCAACATCTACTCCCGCCTGCTAGAGCCAGCACACACACCCGTGCCACCTTTCTCTTTGTCAACCACTGCCACATGGAACTTCCTCCCGGCTGCCATTCGTACTGTATCCAGCCCAAAATGTTTTACCGCTCTTGGTCACACACGCTTTGCTATCACCCGCTATGAGCCCTCTGGTTTCATTCCACGTAGAGTAGCGATGTCATAGAGCACTGTGTTATATTACTACCAACCCACATCCGAGCCGGCATTCTATCGCCTCCTTTTATTTTTCTCCTCAGCGTCTTCTTCATGAGCTGTTGACGGAGACTCAGGCCTGGGGAGAATCCATAAAAACAAAATTTAGTTACTTAGCATCAGCGATCCTAAATTCAATTTCGCAAGTTTACCTACAGAAATTATGCTAAGTGTGCATGTATCTGCAGCCGTAATGATAACGTGAGGTTGCGATAGGTATGTACGCAACATTTTATAATATTTACGTGTAGCATTTCCAGATGTGAGTCTTGTTGTTGTTGTTGTTGTTTTTGTTGTCGTTGTCGTTGTCGTTGTGGTTGTGGTTGTCGTTGTCGTTGTCGTTGTCGGTGTCGGTGTCGTTGTCGTTGTCGTTGTCGTTGTCGTTGTTGTTGTTGTTGTTGTTGTTGTTGTTGTTGTTGTTGTTGTTGTTGTTGTTGTTGTTGTTGTTGTTGTTGTTGTTGTTGTTGTTGTTGTTGTTGTTGTTGTTGTTGTTGTTGTTGTTGTTGTTGTTGTTGTTGTTGTTGTTGTTGTTGTTGTTGTTGTTGTTGTTGTTGTTGTTGTTGTTGTTGTTGTTGTTGTTGTTGTTGTTGTTGTTGTTGTTGTTGTTGTTGTTGTTGTCGTTGTCGTTGTCGTTGTCGTTGTCGTTGTCGTTGCCGTTGTTGTTGTTGTTTCAAATCTTTATTCTCACGATAGCCAGTGGCCAATAAGAGATAATAGTGTAAGAAAGGAGAAAGAGTGAGGAAGAATTGGGCGGGCAGGGCCTAGGGGTTAATGCCTACTTAAGTGTACGGGCAGGGGTGGTCGTCACACGAGCATACATAGTTGTGTACTTAAGTGTACGGGCAGGGGTGGTCGCTACACGAGCATACAGAGTTGTGCAACAGCAGGGATATCTCGGATTTGAAGGGAGTACGAGAAGGGATTTCGCGAAGCTGGATGGGCAAGCAATTAAAGTAATGGAGGGTGTGACAACAGCGTGAGAGCATTAAATTTTGTGTTGTTGTTTCAAATCTTCATTCTCACGATAGCCAGTGGCCAATAAGAGATAATAGTGTAAGAAAGTAGAAAGAGTGAGGAAGAATTGGGTGGGCAGGGCCAAGGGGTTAATGACTACTTAAGTGTACGGGCAGGTGTGGGCGAGCATACAGAGTTGTGTACTTTAAAAGCGTACTGTTGTTCTTGTTCTTGTTGTTGTTGTTGTTGTAGTTGTTGTTGTTGTTGTTGTTGTTGTTGTTGTTGTTGTTGTTGTTGTTGTTGTTGTTGTTTTTGTTGTTATCATTATTTGAATTCGCTAAAACCAAAAGGACAGAACTGTCCAGTAACAAGGTAGCGAACGATGAGCGTTACAATTACTATGCATCAAAACATCTCGTGGCAAAACGAGACACACTAGAAGGAGGGTTTGCACGACACCAGTACATCGAGGGAAGTAAGAGAAAAAGCGAGGTAGAAGTCTAAGCAAGAAAGCAATCAATACCAGAGATGGTTTTGTGCACCAAGGCCGGGAGAGATAGAGCGAGAGAGAGAGTTACACGTACACAGACACAAGTACCAATTTTCGTCTGATGATCGATTCAGTTCGTGAAACACAGAGATACGAAACCGCAACTGCTCGTTCTTCTGTCTGTGTATTCCACTCTTTGCCTTAGGCAAATTTAGCCCTCTGCGGCTGGTGAATGAACCTAACATGGAGCGTTACATTTATTACAAGTAAGTCTAATAAATGACGGCTGCCTTTTGCCCTGCTGAGATCCAGCATTGCTTGTTTGCGGGGCGCACGGCTGATTCGTCCCCTGCCAGCCATGGACACCTCTGTCGTGAGGGCGGTGGCTGAAGCGGCTATCCGGTCCTGAAGCGGCTATCCGGTCCTGAGGCAGTTGTGTTCGGTGTCCGGGGCCTTTTTTGGACAACTACTGTACTAAGTACATCGTAGTTGTAGATTTGGAAGTACACTTGTTATTATTTACATTAGACTGTATTTACAGCCATTTTATGACATTAGACTGTTTTTACAGCCATTTTACACATCCTGTACCGCCACGTATGCACCATAAATGGGGGCTCAGACCTCTACAGCAGGCTTTCACGCCGGAAAATACGCGCACGGATTAACAGGCAGGTTGTCAGATAAACAGGGAGGGAGACAGGCAGGCAAGCCTACAGACAGGCATAATTATAATGAAAATATAATTATGGTGATAGTGGATTAGTGATCCGTCTGACCTAAAAGGTTCATGCTGTGTGGAATAGCAGAAGTGCACATTTGAGCTGGGTGCGGTATGGTCCGTACCTCGCTGGGCAACGTATTCCAGAGCCTAGCTCCTTAGAACGGGAGACAACCTTTTCCCAGGTCAGTGCGGGTTGGCGGTGGTCTTAGACCCATTCTTTCCACGATGACCTGTGGCCAATAAAAAAGAGAATTGTGATTAAAAATCAGTCCAGAATCATATAAAATCAGCTTGGCAAGTAAGGATGGGGTTACGATATTATGGTACAGTGTCAGCTACTACAGCAGCATTATGGATGATTGAATGAGGCCAGACCCCATTGGTTTAAGTGCGTGCTTGCTATTTGTTTCACGCACGTTGGGGGTTGTGGGTTGAAACTGAGAAGGGACAGGTGGATGGGTGGGTTCATGTGTCCGTATGTTGGTGATGTTCTCAATGTGTATGTTCTCATGTGACGTAGTGAATATTGCTGCTCTGTAATTGGACTTGCAAGATGAGGCTGTTGCAGGTGAAGGGGAGCGCGGATGTACTTGAAGCTGTGGGCAAGTGTAAACTGTCGTAAGAGTTGCCGGAAGACTGATAAGGGAAGTTGGATGTCTGGTGAAGAAGTGAGCTGTGATGCACTGGTGCGAAAAGGGAGGACCGCACGCAGATATGGGCTTCTCGTCGATGAACACATTCTCTTTGATCACTCTGGGGGTTATGTACTCCTCATCCATGGCAGATGATGTCTTTACCGCCAGAAAGTAGACAACGCTTAGCTAACACAACAAATACAGTCAAAAACAGCGTCACAACATAAAACCATATTTTCATGATTTACAAGCCTCTTTTACGGGCAAAAACAATCACAATAAACAATTCTCCTGAAGCCACACGTGTAAGAACTATACTAAAAACAGTTTTTGACTTTGTCCTAATTTTAGCGGAAGCACCAGGCTCAGAGTCCTATTTCTAAACAACTCCATCGACTTATTTCTTATCAGATTTTCTACACATATCATCGAAAAAATTAATGTTCAGACAAGGACGGATGAACACGTAAGTTGGTAGAAAAAAAACCACTATCTTTTTAAGGATCAGGACACCGCAAACGCGTACACAATGTCACTCAGACATAGAGTCAATCCTAGTCTATTGATCTTTGTCTAGATGCTCCCTTGTTTGCTCTTGGACATCTCCGGATGTGTCGCAGTCTGGCAGGTGAGAGACTGGAATGTAGCCTGTGCCTGCCGTCTGTCCATCTTTTGAACACTGGGTACAATGACAGCATGTGTGCGTCACTATAGTCGTGGTCTTCAAAATACTGGACAGTTTTCGGTGTGATTATATAATGGCCAGGGTTTGATTCTTGCAGTATCGACGAAAGCTGGTTTTGGGTGAGGCCTTCACTTCTTCTGGTATTTACAACCAATTTACGGAATTCTTTCATTTCGTCAACTGACAGAGTATGTGCATTTGCTGTCCAGTTTGAAGGAGTTTCAAGCATGGTGTCTTTGTTAGCAGTGTACTGGGCTTTAGGTGCTTCAGAAGAATCTTGGATGGCATTAGAGGTGGCTGTGTAGTCGGTTACGTGAAAGTTTGGTAACGGCGGGTTGATACGGGGACAATTGGCTTGCGGGGATGAGGGACTGTACTGGTTGCTACTGGGTTGTGGACATGGACCAATGGCTGAGGTAGTAGTAGTGATACGACGATCATGGAGACGGGATTTAACTCTGCTGGTGTCCAGTGTCGCGACGACTATCTTCTCAGCATGGCCAACCGAAGTAACGTCTGGAGGTAACATGACTGGCTTAGTCTCGGAAAACATTCCATCAAGCTCAGGTGTTTTGTGTGGTGATACATGCGCGTCTGCTTTGGAGAAACATCTTCTTTTCCCAGCCTTCAGCGTGTTTTCTTTTGGGAATCCACGGAGCTGTGACAGCAGTGGCGGCATGTCTCCAAAATCATCTCCCGAGAACGATGGCGAGTGTTCTGAAGTCCTGGCTGAAAGTGGGCTGGAGATTCGCTTCGTAGAACCGGAAGTCAGATACGTAGGAATATCATCTGCAACAAACGAGGGACGATCCAAACGTTGTGGCAGATAGTCTGCGGACGAGGAGGGCATAACAGGGCTGCCGAGGACTGAATTAATCTCAGCGAATTCCGCTTTGGTAAGTAACCCCGGTGGTGACTTGTCTGGAGAGTAGCTATCATCTGATATATTGATGATATCAGACATTTTGCCTACTTTACAGTCTCGTCAACAACTTCTACTCACTAACAATAAGTATTGCACATCTGCTAGAGGGAACTCTTTCTGTGTGGTATGAAAAGTACTCACACCACATACCGGTTTCAGAGATCTAAAAGGCACGAACAGTGTCCACGCTTGTTCAGAAAATGATCTAGAACAGTCATGCATGGAGTTTATCAATGTGATAAGGTGCAGAATTTGTGAAAAACTTACCCGCCGTATAACATTCGCCCAGAGGCCGCGTGAAGTTGGGATATATTGCGCAAGAAATGTTGAACCTTGTGGGGTGAAGTCCTTAAAGTTAAGGAGTGCGGTATATATGAGGAGGTTTCTTCACCATTCTGAGATCTGGGGCGCAGAAAACCTTGTTTTACCTCTGGCCCTGTCATCCCGTCTCGGTCTCTTCGTCAGTTCCCTAAATAAAAACCGGTAGTGAATTTTTTCTGTTCTTAGTCTATCCACTGCCGTGCTGCATTTTACTCTCAACTTCATCAAAACAAAATATACAATTGTGGCTACGATACGCGATATGCTAGTTCTATTTTCGTCCAGAAAACTTATTATTGGTTTCGCGAACGAAGACCTGCAGTCCGATAGATTGCTAACACCGTTCAGAGTTGTAAAAAAGTGGATTTAATGCCATGCGCCAACCCTCAGCGAAAGAAGGGTAGAGAAAAGTTGTGTGATTTCTAGCAGTGCAAAGACCTAAGCATGACATTAATGGCTACACTACGCACCTGTAGATAGTCAAAGAAAAATGTGAGAAACAGGGTGAATGCAATGGATTGACACTTGTCAATCTGTGTGCTATGCTTTCGCGCGTTCTCTTCAAGTGTGTTTTAGCACATATGGTTTCATCGAGATTTGGCCGTGAAGTGCACAATATTACTACTGTCACTGAGTGTGTTACACATGCAACACAAACTGTGTGTCCTAGCATGCGTAGACTCGGACGGAGAGCCGAGAATTGATCTATAGGAAAGAAAAGGAACAATAAGCTACAAGCTAGCCTATTGTTGTCCAAAACCACCAACAATAGTAACAACGTGACAATCGGCTCGTGCGAAAACATTGCACAACATTGACCACTTGTAGAGAGCGTATACTTCTAACTGCCAATCAGTGCTTGTGCTACTTGTTAGTCAAAAAAACCAGAGTCTCTTTGGACGCAGTTTTCATGGTGTAGGGGAAAGTTCAAGTCCACACCAGCTGCGAGAAGAAACGAGCATATGGTACACTGATGTAGACAAACTAAAACGATACTAACAATGTACTAAGTGAAGGTCAACACAACGAGCCCATGTCAAAATTAGCACATCCTTGATTCGAGCTGTACAACAAAGCAAGTACTGCTGAGGTGTTGTGCCTAGTTTTGTTTTGCTGACGTACATAACGGTGTGCTTGGAAGGGGCAACGTTTTCCCTGACCTGTGTCCTAGTCAGTATTGTTCCCTGTACGATTCGTCTTGATCGGACTACTAGAAAGGTTCTAACGCCTGACTGTTTTACCTTGACGTCTAGTTATCATTGCTGATTGTCTTGCACGGAATAAGGTTCTCAGGACTGTCTGTAAAGGCGGTCACATGACTTTTAGGGATGGCAACTGTCAACCAGTCAAGTCAACTAGCTGTGCTTGCATCAAAAGTCCCTGAACAGCCTTGGATATATTCACCTGCACCTGCTGCGACACCTATCCCTCATTTCTTTCATTTTATAACAACCCGTGCCATATCGATAGAGATGGCTTGCAGAGCTGTCCGGCGATGTCCCATTGCTCCCTACTTACACAAAGTGTAGTAGTGTACGCTCATTAAGGCTCGATACCAGCATATCAGAGTGGAGACCCGACCCAAGCCTGCGAGCAACACCCTTCAGTTCTCACTGTAACATCCCAGTTCATGCCCCCTCCCTATGGTCGTAATGCTCCAGGTTCGTGTACTGGTATTACAGCCCTGCAGTTCCGCTATACGCCTGATATAGTGGCTCGGTTTTGACTCATGTCCCTCTGTGTTGCGGGGACTGTTGCACCTGGATTTACTACCAGACTGGCATCAGGAGGCAGTGCTGGCAACGACCAAAGTCAGGCAGGATTGTGTAGTGAGGACCAAGTCGTAGACGCTGCGCACGGAGATTACCATGAAGTGAATTCCATAGCACTGAGCCACTGCCAGCAAAGCGCTATTGACCTGCTGCAAAAGAGGAAACCGGCACACACAGGCCCATGACCTATTGGAGCCGAGTATGGCCAGGTGCAGCGAGAGGGAGCAGGGCTTGCAGTTCTGGACGAGCCAGGGCATATCGACAGTGCCACACACGGTATACGAGCTTCTGGGTGAATACTTCTGCCACACGGAACACATCCACGCACTCTAGCAGAGCGCGGGCGGAGCATCAGGGGGTTGGCCGAATACCACTGAACAACATTATTCTGGAGGCCTTGGAGACGATCTGGGCACTTTTGTGGCAGGGAGCTCGAGCACGCGTTGGAGGCATACAGCAAGTCAGACATGATCAGCGACATGAAGTACGTCATGCGGGACTGGTGGTTCGCTGCCTGAATGTCCGATTTTCAGACGAGCTTTGTTTTTTAGCGTGTTCAATAACAAACACTTATAGATGACCGTCACAGTCTAAAGATACCTGGAAGGAAAATTAAGAATACTGTAGTACATTCATACATACATACACAAAGGAAGAAGAGGCAATCTGGGAACTCTCGCTACTGTTTACGTACATACATACATACAGCTCACTAGCTAGGCCAGCTCAGTTTTATCACCTTTATCACATTTATCCTTTATCACCTTAGTTCCGCGATCCTTACTGGCTATGACACTGAATCGGATATGAGTTGTTAGCGCCCCTAGCGCTTTCTGTTATCCTTGTCCCGCCATACTGGGCTTTAAATAGTGGGTTATTTTTCTTGATGTTCATATCACCTGATGAGTGCCTGAGATGGCATGAAACTTTAAGTTGTGACTGATCAAGCCATCTGTTGTTCTGACTAGTGTGTCACGGCTCTACCTTCCCGGTATCGAGCTCTCTTGGATTTCTCCTGGAATTGACAACAGTGTACATACATACATACATACATCCTGTCCTGTCCTGTTGAGCCACTGCCATGAAGGTTACGTGGGCCCCGGAGGGGCAGCTGAGAGAGAGGAGAAGCACACATCCCTGTGACGATCCAGGTGATGCGGTAAGCGAAATCGGCGGGAGCAGGCGCAAACACATGTGAAACCCTGACGGTCCTGAACGGTCGGACGACTACAAGTCCGCGAGCAGCGATGACGGGCGCGGCCACGTGTAGACACAAAGCAGCGGTCACAAGCCTGGCAGTGAGCGACGCAGCACAGCGGAGAAGCAGGCAGCGGCAGGGGCGCACCGACTGCTGACTGGGGATAAGTACACTTGTGCCTTGCCATACCTCCACGGGACTTCAGCCAACGGCCACACTCTCCACACTGGCATGCACCTTTCTGCTCCGCAACCGGCTTCGCACGCTCAGCCTTACACTTGTGGCGTGCGCGATCACTGGGGCGTGCAAACTGTCGGTCGCAGGTGACGGGAGGGGGATGCTGGGCATCTACCGGTGCTGAGTACGCCGAGCGCCAGGTGGAACGCGACTCGCATTCAGCTCGCCATTCCCCCTCGAGGCCGCGAGAACTAAGGTCAGACATGATACAATCCTTCCAGCGCCGACGAGGGCCATGAGCTGGGCGACGCGACGGAAGCGTGCCAAAGAGAACTTGCTTCGGCAGCCGGTGGTCCTCCATCCGAGCAAAATGCCCGAGCCATTCAAGGCGGCGGTGCTCCACCTTCGTGCGGATGGTGTCGGGATCACCCCACCTCACACGTAGTTGGTGATTGGTGATGTGGTCATCCCAGCATTCTTGGCGAGACACTCCCATGATAGAGCGGATGCATCATAATGGCCTACGCCAGGGTTACTCAATGGCGCCCGTGCTGTTTAACATTTTCATGTGGGCCGTGGTAAGCAGATGGCAGCAGCGCATTAGTGGTGTACCTGGTATTGGTTTCAGTTTCTCGCACAATTCTGACACTGGTAACGTCTACTAGAAGTCTCACTGCACCGACCCTGTCACTACCGCTACGGAGGCTCAGTTCGCTGATGACTCGGCATTGCTCGCTACATCAAGAGCTGGTGCCGAGGTCGCATTGACAACCTTTGACAACACGGCGTCCGAATTTGGTCTCGCGGTTAGTGCCCCAAAGACAAAGTTTTTGGTTGCTGGTGCTGATGTGTCTGCTGCTGACCGCGTACCCCTCAGTTTAGCTGGTGTTGACATTGTCTGTGTCACCGAATTTAAGTATCTGGGTTCGGTAGTTCACAGCGACGGCCGTTCATCCTGCGATGTTGACTCCCGCATTGCGAATGCCTCCCGAGCGTGTGGCGCTTTGCAAAAGTCCATCTTTGGCAACAAGCACCTGGACCTCCACATGAAAAAGGTGGTGTGTTCAACGCCTGTGTCTTGTCGCTCTTGCTGTACGGTTCGGAGAGTTGGACGCCTCTTCAACGGGATTTGCAGCGGCTCTCTGTCTTCCACCACCGATGCATCCGCTCAATCATGGGAGTGTCTCGCCAAGAATGCTGGGATGACCACATCGCCAATCACCAACTACGTGTGCATACATACATACATACATACATACATACATACATACATACATACATACATACATACAAACATACATACATACATACATTGAGTGGTTCAAGTCATATCTGTCACACCCACATCTATACTTATCCCTGTACGGAAACGCAAGTGGCTATAGAACCTGCTGCAAAGGCGTTCCCCAGGGTTCTGTCCTAGACCCTACCCTTTTCCGTATTTATATTCGACTTTTCACAATTCTGATTTTGCGTAGGCGGCCATAGAAACCATGATTTGGCTGGAGGCTTGAAAACGTGAGCCCTCAAACTGTCCCATGGCCTCCACAACCCTGGCTGTAAGTTTTCTCGGTTGCGATTCAACGTTTTGGCACCACTGTCAGTCAACAAGTGATTGGGTTGTTTTTCTGTTTTCCTTTCGATAAACGACCATGTCCAAGCGAATTTACAGTTCCGAGTTTGAGCGTATGCTTATCGAAATTTATGGCGACTTGCTGAAATCAACTGATAAACTCATGATGACCAGAAATGCGGAGGGCCAAAAGGCTACACACTTGCTGAACAATCACATGGAAAAGTGGGCCTCGCGAAACGCTTTTCTATGAAAGAAGTACACAACACGGTCAACTCCCTCAATGAAAAGGGACGAGAGCTGTACAAGGCCCATCGTCTATTGGTGAATTCATTTTATGAAAAATTATGAAAATTCATTTTCATGAGCCGTCCAGCCCCTGCTTAGGCATGCGCCATTTCTATCTCCCAGACAACTTGGCCTGTCGCTGTAAAAACGCCCACCGCTATCCGGTTTCAAATGCTGGTGTGAATGTACCTGCCTCACAGTTGCACAGCACTGTACTCAAACCGAGAAAACGCCCATGCATGATCATAATAGTTTGAACGGCCTATAAAGTATATGCCTCTGGCAAATGTCCACGGACAGTGATGCCCTCTTTGGAACAGTAATTTCTAAGGTGAAGGAGCACCTGTTTTGATTTCCACTAAAAAGTAAAGTATCCAACGACACCATTAGGCGCTGCATCTGCCGCTAGGGCTTACTGATTGTTAGCAGCCGTCGTGAGCTCCCTTTCGGAACGGACACGATAATATTTATTTACTTTGTTATGCTATACAACAACCTCACAGATCGTGGCTTGCTCCTGAATTCCAGCAAAAGCTAGATACTCCTCAGTCATAGCAAAGGTATCCGAGGTAAAGCTAATAGTTCCAGTTCTTTTCAGACGTGCACAATCGCGCTGGATACAATCTATTTCACAGCAATAACGCCGGACCCATTAGTAATGATCATAATTATACCAAATTGATATCACCAGGCTTTACACATAATACTCACATTGAGAACCCTGCAAGAAGACCTAAGGGCCTGTTGGGAATGCCCTGACAATAATAAAAATTACACTACAAATAATAATAATACCAAACGGGACTTTTGTTTTCCACTTTCCCCAGAAAGTCATTGGTTTGTAGCGGTGTCGTCACTTCCAAGACAGCGAATGAAAGGCTAGTAAATCTCGATTTGTCTTGCTGACATCATCTGAATGTGCACTGTTGCGATGGTAGAAGACCAGTGTTTGATTTAAAATACAGGTGTTATAGTAGCATAACATGATATTATGCATTTCAAACGTGTTCAGCCCCAGAGATCAGGAAACACTTGACTAACACGCCACAAATGCCGACACAAAAGTAGTAATTTTACACCATGATACAATTTTAAAAGCCATACTTGCCAGAACTAGAATACAAAAAATTCGAATTTGATTTTGTGATAATTGTTATCGACATCACCAGACTGGTTGATAATAAGGACCAGACTCAGTGTGCAGAGCCTCATCTACTTCATGAACTTATTTCGTATTAGATTTTCTACACATGTCGCCGAACGAGTACGGATGACCACTTCAGATTGTATTCACTACTTTAACGAACAAGACACTGTAGACGGATACACAGCGTAATTCAGACAGAGTCATTTCAAATATCCTTCTCCTCCTCCTCATCATCTAGATGTTCCTCTGCTTGCTCATGGGCATCTTCCGATGGGTCGCTGTGACCTGCATCTCTCTGCCTGAGACGACTAGTGTTTTGAAGTTTCTTACGTGCCCGTTGATTAGAGAACCAATTTTTAATAACATTTATCCTGAGGCCCAATGAGGTAGCTAAGTTACGTTGTGCCTCAGCAGTTGGCAGTCGGGTTTTGGAAAACTCATCGTTTAGAATATCATACTGTTGAATTGAAAGCCGGGCTAGTCGTCCTTGACGTGGGAGACTGGCACGTCTATGCCTATCATCTGTCCATCTTTTGAACACAGGGTACAAGAACAGCATGTGCGCTTCGCCATAGTACTGAAGTTCAAAGAACCGGACAGTTTTCGAGGTGATTTTATGATGGGCATGGTTTGATTCGTATAGTATCGACGCGAGCTGGTTTTTTGTGAGGCCTTCACTTCTTCTGGTATTAACCAATTCACAGAATTCCGCCATTTCGTCAACTGGCAGAGTAACATCCACGTTCGAGTATTGTTCATCTGCAATGCAGTTTGAAGGAGTATCAAGCATGCTGTCGTTATTAGTAGTGGACTGCGCAGTAGATGCTTGAGATGCTTGAGAAGAATCTTGAGTGACATTAAAAGTGGCTGTGTAGTGGTTTACGTGTACGTTCGGTAACTGAGGATTGATGCAGTTGGCCTCCGTGGATAATGGACTGAACTGGTTGCTTCTGCGTTGTGGCCGTGGACCAGTGGCTGAGGTATTAGTGGTACGATGGTTATGGATACGGGATGTAGCCCTCCTGGTGTCCCGTGGCGCGACGACTACCTTCTCAGCATGGCCAACCGAAGTAACGTCCGCAGGTAACACGACTGGCTTAGTATCAGACAACATTCCGTCAAGCTCATCTTCTTTGTGTTGTGATACATGCACGTCTGCTTTGGAGAAGCGTCTTCTTTTCCTAGACTGCGGCGCGTTTTCTTCCGGGAATGCACGGAGTTGTGACAGCAGTGGCGGCATGTCTCCAAAATCATCTTCTGAGAACGATGGCGATTGTTCTGAAGTCCTGGCTGAAAGTGGCCTTGAGATTCGCTTCGTAGAACCGGAGGGCAGACACGTAGGAATATCACCTGCAACAGACGAGGGACGATCCAAACGTTGTGGAACGTAATCTTCGAACGAAACGAAGGTGTGCCCCAAGGCAGTGTTCTTGGGCCGCTTCTCTTTGTCCTTTACACGAGTGACATTTCCGACGTCATACCTTGCATTGTTGTTCATCAGGAGTTTGCGGACGACATCATCCTAGATTATTCTGATTCAGATCTGGACACTGTTTGCAAGACGTCGACTACGGCTGTGACACGTCTGTCTGACTGGCTCTCCGAAATTGGGCTTCTGCTGAATACCGGCAAAACCCAAGTCATGGTAATTCAACCTCGGGGACTCACTGGCGACATACCAGTCGTGAAATGTAAGGATCAAGCCTTAACTGTTACCTCCACTGCCAAATACCTTGGCGTAACCATTGATGACCAGCTATCCTGGCAGCCACATGTCTCCAGTGTTGTGCAGAAGGCGTCATTCGCCATCAGCCAGCTATGGCGCCATGGGCGATCTCTGCCCATAAGAGCCCGCAGGCTTTGGTACATTGGCATTGTGCAAGCACGACTAACGTACGCATCCAATGCATTCTTCCCGTCGCTGACACAGCAGCTGCAGAGTCGTTTAATCAAATCCAGCAAATCCGGAATTCGTGCAATTTTCCGACTTTCCAGCCGTGCATCCACAGCCCCCCCTCCTCGTGCGCTTATCTATTCGATCCCTAACTCACATTTTTAACTACAGTAAACCTGTAACTAACGACCACCCCTTGGTGCCCGGAAAAGTGGTCGTTAGTGGCAGGTGGTCTTTAGTTAGAGGTTTGCACCGCGCGACCATATATGGATCCCATTATATGATATGTATGTCAAAATGCAGCTGATACAATCCCCCACCACTTGCGCACTGACATTCTTCTTTCAGATCATACAACACTTGGAGAGAGAGAAAATCAAGTTTTTTATACACCGGAAGCGATACGACCTTTTGACACGTATGTCGACTTACTGGGTTTCCAGAGCAGCGCTGGCCTGGCCAAGCAGTGGACTAGTCACTATCGACTCCAGCCAGCACAGACTGTCAGTGTGACCTGGTGACTGAGCTGTGTGATTGCACTTCGACCGAGAGCCGCTCAGTCTTAGGGTGCGTTCTTAAATCTTCTCGGAAAAGTTGGAGATTCTCCGAAAAGTTCGAGAGCTGTTATTATATCCTCTCCGACTTTTAGGAGGCTCTCCAAAGCTCTCCAAGCTCTCCAAGCTTCAGAGGTGGTTGAAACTTGGAGATTCCCGCGGTTTGGGATCAGCGCATGCGAACTACGACTAAGGGTGCGTTCTTAAATTCTCCAGCTTCTAGAAGAAGAAGAAAAGAGAAGTCGACGAAACTGGGATTCTTCAAGAACGGGTCTTGAAGAATTCGGAGATATTTTGCAGATGTCAAGCAAAATGAAGCGCCAAAGGGACCGTGATCTTGAGTGCCACGAAAATAGTATGCGCTGTGCGTATGCGAAAAGGGAAATGCGTACACTCATGATCAACACGTGGCTTTTAGACTAGTTCGCATGCGCTGATCCGAAACCGCGGGAATCTCCGAGTTTCAACCACCTCTGAAGCTTGGAGAGCTTGGAGAGCTTTGGAGAGCCTCCTAAAATTCGGAGAGGATATAAGAACAGCTCTCGAACTTTTCGGAGAGTCTCCAACTTTTCCGAGAGGATTTAAGAACGCACCCTAAAAGGCACGTGTTCATCATTAGTGTACGCATTTCCCTTTTCGCATACGCACACGTGCATTACTACATTCATCACTCAAGATCGCGGCCCCTTTGGCGCTTCATTTTGCTTGACATGTGCAAAATATCTCCGAATTCTTCGAGACCCGTTCTTGAGTAATCCCAGTTTCTTCGACTTCTCTTTTCTTCTTCTTCTAGAAGCTAGAGAATATAAGAACGCACCCTTAGTTTCTCCTTCCAGTAGTAACATCGATCAAAGAGCGCTTTGGATGCGCTCTCCAAGACGTTTCCTATCATGTTTGTTCTTGACAGCACTTGAAATTATGACAGGTGTAGTGCAGTCCACACTGATTCCACAGTAAAAATGAGACTGCGCTCATTTGTCTAGCTGTAGTGTCGAAACGACCATGGAAAATCATCAAAATTTCGAGAAGGAGCTTCAAGCAATGTTTGATTTGCTACATCGCGGTCGCTAGTTACGGGTCAAAATTCGACATTGGGACAAGAAAAGGCGGTCGCTGGTCGCGTTCAGCAGGTAGTCGCTAGTCACAGTGCATTTTGAATGTGAGACCGTCCGTGCCTGACAGAGTGGTCGGTAGTACCAGGCCGGTCGCTAGTCACGGTGGTCGTTAGTTACAGGTTTTACTGTACAAGGTTTTGTTTTTTGTTTTCCGTTGCCTACATGATCTTGCAAGTCCTCTTTTCTGCACCTACTTTCAGTTGATGGCTAACACAGGCCAAGCATCCCGGGATGATCGCCGAATTACTCGAGGACAGGAGCAGCGGCTACTGCAAGTGCCTTTCCTTCCTGGACCTTCCGGTCGTCAGTCATTGACATTTGTGGGAAGCACTCTTTGGAATGCCCTTCCCAGCGATATTCGCCTCCACAGTGCGGCGGTTGCCTTTAAACTGGCTCTGAACAGAATTAATTGTAATTTGTCACCACCTTGCTCGGCATCCCTAAACATTACTGCATGGTTTCTCGGTGTTTTCTTCACTGCATGCTTACACATACACACACCCATTTGAATTATATACAAACTTTGTGCTTTGGAATTATCATGCTATGATTCTTTTTAATATTTCCTTCTCTCATAATATTATATTCGTTCTTAGCAGGAACCGGAGGTTTTTCCTCTGGTGAGAAGGCAGAATTGCCTGTGCTCTAAACGAATTCAAATAAAAGAAAAAAAAAAACAAAAAAAAAACGAAGACGGCGTTACAGGGCTGCCGAGGACTGAATTAATCTCAGCGAATTCCGCTTCGGTAAGTAGTCCCGGTGGTGACTTGTCAGGAGAGGAGACATCATCTGATATAATGATTATGTCAGACATTTTGGCCACTTAACAGTCGCTGTAGCAACTAGTAATGACTAACAACAATTACTGCACATCTGCTAGGTGGAACGCATTCTGTTTGCTATGGAGAGTACTCAGACGAAATCACGGCTTCAGAGATGTTAACCGCTCGAAGAGTGTCCACGCTTGTTCAGAAAATAATCTAGAACAGTCATGCATGGAGTTTATCAATGTGATGGGGTGCAGAATTTGTGAACAACTTACCTGCCGTATAACTCTCGCCCAGAAGCCTGGTGAAGTTGCTATATTTTGTGCAAGAAATATTGAAAATCGCGGCGTGAAGTCCACAGGTTTAAGGAGTTCAGCCCTACTACTGTGCGACACATACAACACAATTATTGTGCACTGTCATGCCTAGACTCGGACGGAGAGGCAAGGGTTGATTTAAAGGAACAAAAAGGACCAAGACGCTGCAAGTAAGCCTATTGTTGTCCAATACCACCACTGATTGCAATCACGCGACTATGGGCAGTCGTTAGTAAGCCAAGTGTCAAGTGAAGTCGGCTTAACAGCGCAAGTTCCAGCGTGGAAGAAAATGCATGGCAATAGTCGTAACCACTATTTCGTAACAATCGGCTCGTGCGATAACATTGCACAACATCGACCAGTGGTACTGAAGTTATACAGCTAACTGCCAATCAGCTCTAGTGCTGAAACAACCAGGGTCTCTTTGCGCGCAGTTTTCATTGTTTAGGGGAAAGTTCCAGTCCATACCAACTTCGAGAAGAAACAAGCACACGGTACACTGATGTACACAAACCAAAACGATGCTAACAATGTACTGAGTGATGGTCAACACAACGAGCCCATGTCAAAATTAGCACATCCTCGATTCGAGCTGTACAACAAAGCAAGTACTGCTGAGGTGTTGTGCCTAGTTTTGTTTTGCTGACGTACATAACGCTTTGCCTAAAAGGGGCACCATTTCCCCTGACCTGTGTCCTAGTCACTATTGTTCACTATACAATTCGTCTTGTTCACACTACTAGCACGGTTCTAACGCTTGACTTTTGTTTTCTTGACGTCTAGTTATCATTGCTGATTGTCTTGCACGGAAGAAGGCTCTGAGGACTGACTGTATAGGCGGTCACGTGACTGTAGGGGAATGGCAACCACCGACCAATCAAATCAGCTAGTTGTGCTTGCATCAGAAGTTCCTGAACAGCCTTGGATGTACATGTATTCACCTGCAACTGGACCATATTCTAGACCAGCTGCGACACCTATCTCATTTTACCATAATACCCCATGCCATATCGATGGAGATGTCTTGCAGAGCTGTCCGGCGATGGCCCATTGCTCCCTACTTACGCAAAGTGTAGTAGTTGTTAGTTCCACGGTTTCAAATATGCACGAATCGTGTGATCCTGTGATCCTTTTAATAGTGTACGCTCATTCAGGCTCGATACCAGCATATCAGAGTGGAGGCCCGACCCAATCCTGCCAGCAACAGCCTGCAGTTCTCCCTGTATCATCCCAGTTCATGCCCCATCCGTATGGCCGAAATACCCCAGGTTCGTGTACAAGTAATACAACCCTGGAGTTCCGCTATGCACCTGATATCGTGGCTGGGTTTGGACTCATATCCCTCTGTGTTGCGGGGACTGTTGCACCTGGATTTACTACCAGAGTGGCATCAAGAGGCAGTGCTGGCAACGACCAACTTCAGGCAAGATTGTTTAGTGAGGACCAAGTCGTAGACGCCGCGCATAGGCTCGACGTGCTAGAATTGAAAGTCACCGCCTCCGGCCAAAAACAAGTTTGATAGCACCCTTTCATGTACATGTAGTTCTTTGCTGACAGTTTTACGGTTCAGAACACTTTGTGTCAGTTGTTCTACATTCATCATATGCCTAGTGTGCTGGTTTGTGCCTAGTGTACATGTATCTACAGCCGTATTGATTACTTGATACATGGATTGGTATGTTTTTTTGTTTGTATTTATTTGTCTGTTAGTCTGTCTGTCTCTCTGTCTGTCGGTCTGTCTGTCTGTCTG